GGCCCACAAAAATCTGGCCCGCCAGGTCATCTTCATAACTTATTATCGTCTTTTGTAATTGTTGATTCCATCAAAATTTAGCATGACCTCGTGTCGACCATATGCTTCGGTTTACCTGCTCTCTACTCTTATCGATTTCCCACCGCCTCTCATCAGTAGCGCTCTGATGGCTTTTGATGGCGTTTGAGGAATAATAGAGCGCAAATAGTCTGCATATAAATCTATATGCATCAGTGTTTGGTCACTTGGTTCGCTCAGGTTCCTCGTCACTTCGTGTCACCTATGGTGATCTTTGTCACTTTTTTCGCCCCAATTTTTGTGATCCAAAACGGCTTCCAAGTTTCCATCTTCAAAGTATTGCAATTGCTCTTGATTTGAGAGTTTCGCTTAACTCAGGTTCGGTTCTCACTCCTGGAAATGTTTTTTCCCATTGCTGTTTTTCTATTTACTGTCTCAGCCTCTGATCAGTTTCTTTCATAGCTAGATCTTGTTTCACTTTGTTGTTAGCAGCTGCTGCTGTTTTCTGGTAATTTTTTTATCTAGCGTTCCTTTGGCTTCTTTTCCTTTGCTTTCCTTCAATTCGATTTTTGCTTTTACGGATTTCGGCGACAGTTCATTTTTTAACACGCCCTTGTTCTGCAGGTAATTTTCTGCCTGACTTTTTCTGGTGTTCTGTACAGTTGCTAGCTTATGTTTCGGGTGATTCTGATTCTTCACGGCTTTCTTCATTCTACTGACCCTCAACGCGTGCACAATCTGCGCTGGTCCATGTCGTCGTCTCTCGGCTTGTACCACGTCTAACTTTGCTGTTGGCTCCCCCTTGAAGATTTCGGTCCGGCGAAAATGAATACTTCTTTGATTTCATTAACAAGTATTCTTCAGATTTCGGCCTCGTCTCTTCTGGGGTTGGTGCAATATAATTCGATAGTGTATAATAGGCTGCCAAAATTGTTCTCAAGTCGTCACTTTTCACCCTATCGATGTATTTCGAAGCAATATTGAAAATTCTCCTGTTAGTTTACTCCTCCGGATCACTTCTTCTCAAACTCTCTAGATCATCCAGAACTCGATCAACCAATTCGTCAACCCTTTGCTTCCTTTTCTCAAAACTCATCCTCGCTTCATCTTGACCGTCCTATTGGGAGCGACTCTGAGTTTCTCAGGTAACGACATTTTTTTTTTTTTTTCATGTTCTTTATTTGCAATTTTAGTTTTTGTGTATTTTTGTATAAAAGGATATTTAAAAACATTTTTAAAAATAAAATTACATATAATTGTTTCCAGCTATCTAATTTTATTTTAAAAAAGCTTTGCTTTAATATCTATTTCAACTGTCTGGTTTAAAACTTAATGATCCTATTGGTCTTTCTAAATCTTTCTATTCCGAGTACCTAGCGTAGTACAATTGGTTTAGCTGCCCGAGGCCCCAAAAACCCAGGTGTTGGGCAGCTTTTTGAGTTTCCCAAGATTTGATTGCCTTAGTGTTGGGCAGTTGTATTAGCTTCGCAACGCTTAAATACTTTAGTGTTGAGCACTTGTTTTGGCTTCCCAAGACACAATTCATTCAGTTTTTGGCACTTGATTAGCTTCCCAGGACTCTAGCAAACCAGTGTTTGGCAAATGATTGAGCTTCCCACGACTCGAGTGTTGGGCAGTTGGTTTAGCTTCCAGGGCTTAAGTGTTGGGCTGTTAATTTAGCTTCCCCGGACTCAAGTGTTCGCAGTTTTTTTTAGCTTCCCAGGACTCCAGCAAACCAGTGTTGGGCAATTGATTTGGGTTTCCAGGACTCAAGCAAATCTAGTATTGGGCAGTGGATATAGCCTCACAGGACTCAAGCAGTTGTAATGTTGGGCAGTTGATTTAGCTTCACAGGATTCAAGCAGATCTAGTTTTCGCCAGCTGATTTAGCTCCCCAGAATAATCTCAGGATTTTGTGAAAATGTTCCACCCCCTTTATTGTTGACACAAACTGATTAGAATGTCTCTAAAATATCGTGCAGTCCCAGAATCAATTGCAGTCAAAAATTTTGGGTCGAATTTCGTACACCAGGTTATGATTGAAACCAGGTTAATCAAAATGAGATCTGCTTGTCTTAAAATTTACCAATTTTTCGAAGTTCGACCAAGTGAAAACCTAAAAGTGTTATAAAATTTATTACAAATGTGATACATCAACTATGTAAAAACTGTCGTTCCAAAAGATATGCCTGGTACCTGGTTGTCACGCGTTATCTCCCATTCTGTTGTGGATATGGGATTTTTTACCTTATTGTTTTTAAAAAAAAATTATCTCCGTTCCCCTCACCTGATCCGGCCAGACCACCCTCTGTATCCCGAGCTTACTATGGGGCTCCTTCAAGTTTCAACTCCTGTTTCTAGTCTTTATAGCAATCAATACAGATTCTGATAAAAAATAATGTAACCAAATTGACAATGCCGATGTTTGGTTACAGTAAAGGACCCCCTTTTTTGTTTTTCAACCACCACCTATATCTTAACAATCCCACCGTCTAACCTCTTCCCTTTTTGACCCTCACTTTAGCCGAAAAACAGCTTAAGCGCGATGGGTGCTAAACACCTCAAAAGAAATGCCGTAGAACCTGTTTCCAAACTCTGCTCAAGTAAAAACGTCTGCTAAAGTCTAAAATTGGGGGAGGCCCGTAGTCTTTTTTTATACCTATCTCCTAGAAAATTAATTGGATGTTAACGATACCCTTTTGACCAAACAGCGCACTCCGGCGCTGTTTTGATCAAAAGGATCGGTCTTATTGCTAAACAGTTATAGAAAAAGTTCAGACAGCTCTCACGAAGCCCTTATTCAATTAATGTTTTTCGACTTTATTATTTAGAAGCTTAAAAAATTTATATAGTTTTCACCATTGTAATCTTACTGTACGTACTTCAGTAAGCTTTTTCACGAATAAAACTGGCGTCTGTGTATCATGCAATTTATGAGAAAAAGTGCGATTCCTCTTGGCAGTGCCATGAATTGCATTTTTCTCGAATTTTCATAAGTTTCGCTATTTCAGTCTGTTGCTCGTCTTTTATCTATATCGATTAGGTTGCCTCATAGTAAGTCGTTTAAAAAAGAGTGAAAAAGATTTTGACATGATTGTGATCCAGGAAAAGCGACATTTTAAAAAAGTTTGGTAGCTTGAGTTTTTCATGACCGATTTTTGGCTCAACGGGCGTCTACCCAAATTTTTCCTGCTTAATCGCCGTCAAAGTGTTGATTATATGGAAAACAATTTCCCAGTTTTTTTCTAGACTTATGGACATTTTGGGTGACGCTATTTAACTTCTATGTTTTTTGGTGGCTTGATCTCACTTTCTTTCTGCAATATTATGTTTCTGTTTTACGATCGTAGTGCAAAGCTCCATTTCACCTCTGAGTCAAAAATAATTATTTCCAACTTAAAGAAATAATTCAGACAGCTCTCACGAAGCCCTAATTGTTCACAATTCGCTGATGTTTTTTGGGCTTGAGTAATTTTTTATGCTTGAAAAAGTTGTTTAAATTATATCTTGGTGATTTTTTCGCTCCGTACTTAAGTTTTTTATCTTCTGAATGAAACTGGATTCTGTGTAACTTGTGTTTTTGAGGAAAAGTGCGATTCCTTTTGCCAATACCAGAAGTTGCATTTTGTTCGGACTGAAGTTTCAATATTTCATTCTGTTGCCTTTTTCATCTACAATATTGCGAGTAGTTAACCTAGTTAAGACTTTTATATAGGTCTTGGTAATTTTTGGTCAGGGACTTTACCTCTTGTGTTTTTCTACCTCATTCTGTCGGAGCAAATTCGGTTCGCCTACGACATGGGATTCTAAGATCGTATTACAGCTTGAAAGTTTCTTCCGAAATACATCCCGATTCACCTTAAAAATAAAAACGTCCCCATGGCTAGTTCTATAAATACCTAAAACATGCAAATGCCGTTTAAAACAGGGTTGGAAACTCAAGTGTAAGACTAGTTTTTATCTGACTGTCGACCGTTGATCATTTTCAAATGGATCAATCTAAAACCCGCGTTATCTCAACATGAATGAGTAAATTACACTCAATAAATTAAATGCAGTGCTCACATAGTGACAAGACTCTAGTATCAAATAAATTATATAATTAAGCAACTCTAGAAGTTTTAGGAATAATTTAGTTTAAACTCAAGATTTGTTGTCTGGGCCTTTGGGTCGCTTCAATCGTCGACCTGCGCAATCAAGGTTCCCCATACTCTATTAATTCCACTTTCCCGCAATTATAATTCGAGTCTTCTGATTTAATCGATTTCGGTTGCTGCGTTAAACTTGAGTATGGCATGGCTAATTCAAGATTTTCAAAAATTACCATTTCCCCCAAAATCAAGATGAAACTTCAGAATATGACCGACTGGCACATAACCAACTCATGAGTTAAGATCCGACGAACTTGTTTTTGACCATAAGAGACCGCGAGTATCCGAACAAGCGCACTAGTAAACAGACTTCCGAAGACTGTGAAATTCAGTGAAAGAATCGGACTGAAGAAAAGAATACTACATTAACTATGGCGACATTTTGAATCAAGCTATAATGAATTAATCTCAAATAAATGGCGAATATAAGCAGTAAAACTTGAATATACAAAGGGAGAGATCCCTTGCCTAATGGGCCTAAATACATCTTACATGCATGCATACTGATGGAAAAAATCCGGTTGCAGACCAAGAGGCTGGTAAGTAAGGTCCCTCAAAATTTGCACTACTCGGGTTTACAGGGTCTTAAAGGAGGACCACTTGAAGGAATGAGGGAAAATTTTTGAATGAGTCACAAAAATTCTATGCTAATCTACAGGAAATAATTGCAGAAAGTTGACTTACAGACTCTGAACTCAAATTGAAGAGGGAACTCCTCGGGGTCAGCCACTAAATTCTTATCATTATGGTTAGTAGTCTATTTTGTGCTTTTATAGGGGCCTGATCGAAGCATATTGCCACCTTTAAAACTTGTCATCTGACCGATTTCAGATGCATGCTGCATATATATGCAATGAGGTTCTCAGTAACCTCCCAACGAATATCGACATCAGCTCGATAGCGGTTTGCTCTAATAATGTAGTGTTTGTGGGAACAAAATCGGGTCATTTGGTTATATACACCATCACGCCATGTGTCGAGACAGCTCAGAACAAAGGAAACCCATTCAAAATAGACTTGACGAAGTCTATACGAACATTTTCGAAGAAACCAGTACTGCAAATGGCTGCTATCGACGAATTGCAGATTCTAATCAGTCTTACTGACTGCATCCAGGTCTGTAGTTAAACTATCGACCAATTTAAGTTTTGCCTGTGTGTGTTGAGGGGGACTTGTTTTCCTTTTAATAAGTCTTAAATCTCGTTGATTTTTTGACGGCTTAAAGGGTTTGTGCTAAGGAATTTTCAGCTTGCTTTGTTACCGCTTGGTAAATTTTCTTCCTGTGTTAATTTCACATTCTTTTGTCTTGGCAAGTTTTTCTTTCAAAAGTAGCCCAATTCCTTTTGATAGATCTATGCTTTTTTGATATTTATGATTTTTTTTTGCGATCTAGCGGCTTGCTTGTTTTGTATCGCAAGTGGTGCGAAGCGCAGCTTCGCCTCTGTATAAATTTTGTTTTTCTTAAATATTTAAAACAAACTTTTATTTAACTGCATTGAGCAAAACAAGCAACGAAATGTTCAAAAGACTAGGACTGCAGCTGGCCAGAGCAACAGCTCGTGCAATTATAGCGCGGAACCCGCCCGGAAAAGTTCATTAAGTGCTTCATTTTGTGTTCTTATCAATAAGTTTTTTTTGTTAAGTTAGTAACATTTTTTCATCATTTGGTGCTTCTTCGCATTCCTCAGACTCAGTACATTTTGTTATATTTTTGGATGCGTTAGGTTTTATAGTTTTCTGAATTTACCTGCAATTACCCTACTATGGTTAGCTTGCGATTAACTAAACTTTTTCCCGTAAAAAACGTTGTGCACAGAATTTGCAAGTGAAAATGTTTCACGTGTTTTATTTGCATTATCATTAATAGAAGGAGCATTCTGCGCAGTGGTAACACCCATGCTTGAGGCAAGAAAGCCCTAGAGGAATTCGATTCTAGTCGATTCAATTAGATAAGAAGCCTGAGGTTTTCCCACAAAAAAAACTCTTTTTTTTTCTGGCTATGAAACATACCATCTCAAACCTAGTAATCTTAAAACCTATAGCCAATCTTAATACATAGTTTGGAGAACGGATGTTCTATTCCCTATCTTAGTACATGTTGGGTCTCTAACTTTTGGGGTGGCTTTTATCTCACTTTTGTTCTGCCATGTTTGCTTGTGTTTTACGAAAGTGGTGCGAAGCTCCATTTCACCTCTGGCTCAAAAATGATCATTTCCAACTTATAGAAATAATTCAGACAGCTCTAACGAAGCCCTTATTCAATTAATGTTTTTTCGACTTTCATAATTTTGAAGCTTAAAAATTTTATATAGTTTTCACCATTGTAATCTTACTGTACGTACTTCAGTAAGCTTTTTCACGAATAAAACTGGCGTCTGTGTATCATGCAATTTATGAGAAAAAGTGCGATTCCTCTTGGCAGTGCCATGAATTGCATTTTTCTCGAATTTTCATAAGTTTCGCTATTTCAGTCTGTTGCTCGTCTTTTATCTATATCGATTAGGTTGCCTCATAGTAAGTCGTTTAAAAAAGTTTGGTAGCTTGAGTTTTTCATGACCGATTTTTGGCTCAACGGGCGTCTACCCAAATTTTTCCTGCTTAATCGCGGTCAAAGTGTTGATTATATGGAAAACGATTTCCCAGTTTTTTTCTAGACTTGTGGACATTTTGGGTGACGCTATTTAACTTCTACGTTTTTTGGTGGCTTGATCTCACTCTCTTTCTGCAATATTATGTTTCTGTTTTACGATCGTAGTGCAAAGCTCCATTTCACCTCTGAGCCAAAAATGATCATTTCCAACTTAAAGAAATAATTCAGACAGCTCTCACGAAGCCCTAATTGTTCATAATTCACTGATGTTTTTTGGGCTTGAGTAATTTTTTGTGCTTGAAAAAGTTGTTTAATTTATATCTTGGTGATTTTTTCGCTCCGTACTTAAGTTTTTTGTGCGATTCCCTTTGCCAATACCAGGAGTTGCATTTTGTTCGGATTTTCAGAAGTTTCAATATTTCATTCTGTTGCCTTTTTCATCTATAATTTTAAGAGTAGTTAACCTAGTGAAGACTCTTTCATAGGTCTTGGTAATTTTTTTTCAGGAAAGTCTTAAATTTTGTTCACGCTTAAATTTGATTTTTCGCGGTTTGACTTGTGGTTTTTTTAAGTTCAGTGTTTGTCGTTCGTTTAAAGGAAGGCAAATTCCGCTATCGTACAGCATAAGTAGGAAGGGCACGAATTTAATTTTCAGATTTCCGAGCGGAATAAGAAATTTTTTATTTTGATCCAGTTTTCTCAAATTGGGTTATTTTTATCAAAAAATTGCCAATAATAAATTCTTTGCTTTGTTTGTCTTCGAAGGTTGGGATTTTTTAAAAAGTAAGTTAGGTTTTTTTCTTTTCTTTGCGTTCATTGTTCATTATTTGACTTCATTTTTGCTGTTGTAAATCAGGTATATTATGGTGTTAGCTTAAACTACTAGTGCTATTCAACTCAATTTACTTTTCAGTGTAGAATCAATGATTTGTTCAATTTTATCACGTTTCGGAACTTTGAAAACGCTTGGTTTTTTAAAAGCATTTTTTTGGAAATTTTCATAGGTGCACAATATTAAGAGCTTCGTAAGACGGGACGATGGGACTTCTCAGCCAGAGACGAAGGATTCCAAAAGGGAAGCCATGCCATTGGTCTACACGTTGCAAGATTCGAGAATGGGGACGCCGCCTACATTCTTCTCCCTCAACGTAAGGTGTAAGTAGCTTGCATTGTTAATCCAAATAATCACAATTCGGTATTGCGCAGTGAATTCTGCCGGCAATTTTTTGTACAGTTGGTTCTGAGTTTTCGATCTTTTCTTTCTAGTGTACTGAGTTTTTCGTGCGAGCAGCTATCAGAACTAGTGTACAACCGAGAGAGGATTGAAAGCCGAAGGCGGGATTTTTTGAGAGTGCGTTGAGCCGGGCAAGTCAATATTTCATGTGCCTGTAAGCCATTCCAAAAGAGCCCCCTGTAACGCTCTTGAATGTTATTAAGTTCCTTGCTCTCGAAAAATTTTGGATTCTGCCAACACATTGCCATTAACTACGATAATTTTTGCAGACAGCGACGGTGATAAGGAGGAGTTGCCGAATCTGCGCATGTGTGTGCTGTACAAGAAGGTGGCTCAACTTCACGATTGGAAACAGGGAGAGCAGAAGTTCTCAGTTATCTTCAATCTGCCCACTCTACCGGACTTCATGCGGGCTTCCCTCCTTACAAGGAAGTACCTCTTCTGTGGCTCCAGACAGCAGTACTACAGGATTAGCCTCAGTAAGTGGGTGTCCTAATATTTCAGCTGTTATTACTATTTAAATTTAAAACATTCCTGTCGACTTTAATTCCCTCGCTGTACCTAGAAAAACAACAGAAAAATCGTGGGGAGGAGAGAAGAAATGCATATTTTTCGATTTTGAAAACAGTTATTAAGAGTAATAAAGGCAGTGAAGACTCTTATATAGGTCTTGGCAATTTTTTTTCCAGGAAAAGTCTTAAAATGCTCTAATAACTTCAGATGTGCAGTCGTACATATTGATGCATTTATGAATGCACTTAGGAATATATGCACTTTTTGAGTTCAATTGAAATTCATCTGCTAAAATTTACGTAAACAGCACTCTCCGAATACGAACGCCAAAATGGCGCGATAAAAAACGTGAACGATTTCTAGTTTAGAAAGATTTAATTTTTAGATTTCCAGCAGTATAAAAACTTAATCTATTGATTCAGTTTTCTCAAGTTGGGTTAATGTTATCAAAAAAGCGCCAATCGTAAATTGTTCTAGACATTCAAAGAGCTTAAAGGGCATCTATTAAGAGTAATGAACGTAGTGAAGAGTCTTATATAAGTCTTGCTGATTTTTTTTTCAGGAAAAAGTCTTAAAATTTGTTCACGCTCAATTTCGATTTTTTTTGCGGTTTGAGTTGTGATTCCTTGTTTAGTTCAGTGCATTTCTATTGTTAAAAAGAAGGCACACTCCACTATTGAACAGCTAAAAGGCCACGAGAAACGTGATCGACTTCTAGTTTTGAAAATGGAAATTAATTATCAGATTTACCAGCGAATTAAAAGTTTTACCTATTGATCTAGTGTACTCGAATTGAGTTAGTTTTAACAATGAAGCGTCCATCATTAATTGTTCTACAAATTCAAAGAGCTTTAAGGCCATCTAATTTTTTAGTCCGTTATTAAGTCTTTTTTAAAGTCTTTTCCAACTGCCAGCTGGCTATGTTTTTTTCTTTGAAATTCGAAAGGAGATTTTTTTGAACACTGTCGTGAAAAGATGAAGAGTAATGAGCTTGCGTTCCTTACACTTTTCCAACTGTCAGTAAGCTATGTTCCTTGTTTTTTGAGCTACATCATTTGAACAATTGTAGCTGGCACCATCGGTGATACTTGCTCAGCAAACGATTATCCTTAATTAGAATTGCGCGAGCAAGTGTCTTGTAATCGGTAACTAGACCTTTTTCCCCGAAAAACGTTTCTTATTTCTTTCTTAATTGATTTTTGACTGTTTTCTGAAATAGTTTTAATTTTCCCTAATTTTTTGTTCGTCGATTTTTGCTATTTCCTCATTTTTATTCGCTAGCTTGCTATACGACTTGATTTTTTTAAATGTAAAACTGGTTTGCCTCAAATGAAAACAGTTTGTTGGTTAGCCTTAGACATTTTTAAAAAATCAACGCAGCTTTTTAAATTGCATCCGTTTGTTTATTAACGTTTTCTTTATTAACAGAAGATGGATCTGAAAAACCCTTGTCAAGTGTGGGAAATAACATGGACTCTATTGTGGCTAAACTGGGCAATGAGGCCATAGCAGTGGGCCATGATAACGAAGTGATCCCTCTAAGCTACGAGGGTGACGCCATTTGGAGTTCAGGCGTGAAATTCTCTCAAACTCCTACTGTGATTGAATACGATGAGCCATACATTGTGGCACTGACTGATTCTTCAGTGGAAGTGAGGCCATTCATGACGGATGCTCCAATGGTGCAGAAACTGGAGATTAGTGCGCCAGTTTGTGTGACTAAGTTCCAAAAGGTCATCTGGATTGCGACCAAGAAGAGTCTATTTCGACTGTATCAGGTAATTCAACAACACCTAGCTTTAGTTATGTCAATGTGAAACGCTTATCGCCAAAGAAAAATTGAATTTAAAACGGTAATTAAAAAAAACAAACGCTGAATTTTGTTGAGCGTTCAGTTTTATGAGAATTGCCAGTTCTCACAAAAAAGCTGAGGAAATTCAGTTACTTTATTACTTGCGGTGAGCAAGGGTAATGCAGTTGAGTGCTAGACTTATTTCTCTGTAAATAACTTTGTTCACTGGACTCATCTGGACTCATTTTCTGGATGCCTCTGTAGCAACAACTTTACAGCTACAGATTTATTTTGTTCATGTTAACGTTTCGACGAGCTGCAAAAGTTTTTGCGTGCGTGTGTGTGTTTTGAGGGCGAGGCGGGCTTAATAACTTTTTTAGTCGCAAATTTGTTTAATTTGTTTTTCGGCTAAGCTATTTTCGGCTTTGTTACCTCTTAGTAAATTTGTTCCAATGCTAATTTCACACCCTATTGTTTTGGCATGTTTTGTTTCAAAACTAGTAATGTTACCCTTGCGATAAGCAAGAGTATTGCATTCGGTAACTTTGTTCACAGAATGGTCAATTTTCTAGGAATAGTAATTTTATAAGACATGCTCATTTTCTGAAAATTTAAATAAGACTCTCATTTAGTTAGTAATTTTTGTATTCATGGTTTTTTCTGCCTAGTTTCTGTCTGTTTTTTTTTCATTCTTTTTAAAAGGCCTTTATATTATCTGGTACAAATTTTAATTGTCTGAAGCATGGACTTTAGCTTGGTTCTAAGTATGTTTTACTATAATTGAAATCACTTTTTTTTCATTTTACCAAGTCTAATTTTCAAATTATTTTTTAAACGACGGTTTCTCAAATACTATTTTTATAAACATAAGGTTTGGGTTCAATGAATAGAGCGGGTTGTAGAAAGCTCCCCTGCATGAGTGGCTACTCTTCAACTTGTGCACAAGAAATTCTGGTTCTCGCAATAGTCAAAAGTTTTTGACCGTTTTTTATTACTTTTGAGTTTTCTCGGAAACTGCCTGCCAAATCTACGATTTTTGATTCAATTCAAAAAATAGTTTGCGGAAAGTTTTTCTGCATATGCGGCTACGCCCAATTTTATTTATAATAAAAGTTATGGACCTCGAAAAAAATGATTCTCGGAAAAGTTGCTATGATTCTCGGAAAAGTCAAACTTTTGAATTTTTTTGGAGTAATGGACGAAGACTCTATAAGTCTGGCTAATTTTCTTTGTTTTTTTTTCAGGAATAGTTTTAAAATTATCTAATAACTACAGATGTGCATTCATTCATATTGATGCATTTATGAATGCACTGAGGTATATATGCATTGTTTGAGTTCAATTGAAAATCATCTGCTGAAAGTGACGTAAATAGCACTCCAAATACGAACGTGGAAATTGCGCGCAAAACGTGAGCGATTTCTAATTTCGAAAGAGATTTTAATTGTAAGATTTCTAGCGAAATAAAAACTTTATCTATTAATCCAGTTTTCTCTTGTTGGGTTCATGTTATCAAAAAAGCGTCAATCGTAAATTGTTCCAGAAGTTCAAAGAGCTTGAAGAGCATCTATTTTTTTCTTTGAAGTTCGAAAGTGATTTTTTATGTTTACTTGCGTTCATTACTCTCTTCAATCTTCGATTGGCTATGTTTTGGCTTTTTGAGAAGTTACCCTATCAAATCTGAGATGAAGGATGAAGTTTTCAATCCAAAGAAGTGGTTGCGATAATTTTTTCCTACAGACGCAGTGACTACTTGATTTTTATACGAAAGTCGTTATTTGGCATACTGCAATTTTTAAAAAAAAAATTCAGTCTTAATTATTTTAGCAGTTTTTATTATTTTAGAGGTTTTTGGCATGTCCAATTTTCAAAATTACCCATTTCATCCAGCAACAAATATCAAACAGCTGGCTCTAGTTGGGCCCCTAGTTATCTTTATTGATACATACGAACATCTTGGTTCATCTAGTTTTTTTTTTCATCCAAATTTTTCATTTTTTTTTCTACTTAGATTTTGTGCGTTGTATTGCAAGTGGTGCGAAGCTCAGCTTCACCTCTGTTTTCTATTTCTAAAGTTATTTTGAACTTTGTTTTGACTAGGTGCCAACGGAGCAACAGATAACCGCAGTTGCACATAACAAACAATTCAAGCTAGCCGAACTGTTGGCCGAAAAAGTACCAGAGCCGAGAGACCCTCAGAAGAAACGCACCAAAATCAATCTTATCAGAACTCTGGACGGTCTGGATAAGTTCAACCGCCGAGAATTCCAGGCAGCATTTGTGATTTTCAAGCAGCTCAGAGCTAATCCAATACATATCCTGGGTCTGTATCCAGATCTCATATCTCTAAGCATTCTGCAGATGTTTAACTATCCTGTTGAAATCAGCCCAATTGGCAAGAAAGAATTAGAAGGCGCTATCAAGGTGCTCGTTGATTACCTTCAGCTAACAAGGAAAGAATTGGTTGACAAAGAACGAAAAGGTGTTACAACTGTCCAGCCTTCGGAGTATTTCGCCCTGGCAACAACCTCGGGAGAAATACCAAGTACGTTTAGCGTCGGCAGTCTACGAGAGGTGATCGATACCGCACTTTTGAAATGCTTCGTCATGAATAACGACCCAGAACTGGGAAATTTACTTCGGTTGGAGAATAATCGATGTAATTACGAAAACACGGTTAAGATCCTGGAAGCGAAACGCAAGCATAAAGAGCTTGTGAGCTTCTATCAAACTCGTAAAAAACACGTGGAAGCGCTGAAGTTGCTGAAAGACTTATCTGGACAACAAAACAGTTCGATGAGTGGCCATGAAATGAGTGTTTCCTATCTACAGAAACTAGGAGTGGATTATCTGGATGTTATTTTTGAATATTCAAAGTGGGTTCTGAGAGCGTTTCCTAATGATGGTCTTCAGATCTTCACAGATCAAAGTCCAGAGTGTGAAAGTTTGCCGCCTAATAGAGTCGTAAAGTTTCTCAAAGAGATTACTAACAAGTTAGCCATTCAGTATTTGGAACATATGGTAATGAAACGAGGAATGAAAGAAAAGCAGTTCCATAATAATCTTGCTCAGTACTACAAGGATGAGATGATGAATTTGTACCCTGCGTATAGAGACTCTTTGACTGAAGGAGAGGAGCCGGCGAAAGCAGGTCACGAGCCGGGAGATTTAGGAGAGCTGAGACGGAAATTGATCGACTTTCTGACTGAATCTGAACATTATGGCGCTGAAGATTTGCTGGCTGTGTTCCCGACGGAACTTCACATTGAACTGGCTATTTTGAACGGCAGGATAGGAAAACACGACAGAGCACTTGAGATTTACATTCATGTCTTGAAAGACAAGAAAGAAGCGGAGAACTACTGTAAGTCGATTGAAAGCAAAAAGTTACCCAATTCGAATTGGCAAAATGTGTATTTGAGTCTATTTTCTGTGTATCTGAATGCTAAACCGACTAATGCAGCTACGATGCTGCAGGCACCAGGACCTGTAAAAGCGGATGTTGATTCGGCATTGAAAGTATTGCAGGACCATTGGGATATGATAAATATGGAAAAAGCTCTGAAGCTGTTGCCCGAATGGGTTTCGTTGAGACGCGTTTCAATCTTCCTCGAGAATGTGTTGAGAAAAACAACCAATCAGAAGCGAGATGATCAAATTTTGAAGAATTTGCTTGTCTTTGAGTCAATGAGATTCCAAAGAGAGTTGGACTGTCATTTACAAGAGAAGTTTGATCTTTTGGATGAGGTTTGTCATCATTGTCGGAACAAGATTGGAAACAGTAAATTTGTTCGCTCGGCGCTTGAAATGGAAACAGGAAAAGACAGTAAACTTTACCATCTGAATTGCTTCAAAACACATCGAGATAGGGTCGATGCTGGTCGTTTCTATTAGTTTTTTTATTTAGAAATACAAATTTTATCAATTACCCAAGCCGAAGCAATGTGTTATATTGTGTGGCTACTTTTTCCAGTGTTATATTGAGATGATGACATATAAATTCATTTATAATGACATTTAAATTCTTAGTGCAAAGAGCCTATTGCTTTTACCTTCAGAGGCGTTTATGAACTTGGATTTTTAGGGATTGCCGCTGAACCGAGCATCAAGAGTTTCTGGATTTCCAAATCACCCATTCAAAGCTTTCTCAGTGCCTTCTGTAGTTTTTGTTACGCTTATGTTTTCTCAAGGCAACTTCGCTGCTTTGTTCCATGTTTAGTACGTTGATCCGTGGAGTCCACTGCTGCTCTTTTGTCATTTTCTTCTACACAGTTTGTCCATGACAAGGTTAATGAAATGATGTGCCATGTTTTCTAGTAGTTTCGAGTTTCTAGGGTATGATCGATAAGATAATACATCGAGTGGCCTAGTTTTGATATTTAAAGGTAAAATAGCTGCGGTTATCAACTTGAGATATTATTTCTTTAAGATCGAGCAAGTTTTCCGACCAAACCATAAAGCTGCAGTTTATAGGAATGTAAAAAATGCGTTGAAACACTTTTTCACTTAATTAAAGCTTTAGTTCGTTCATGTTTATTGAAAGATTGCGAGTTTTTGTGTAATACGTTCAATTTTGATACGAGTTTTCAGTTACTGATTAAGTGTCAATGAACGTCGGAGTGAAGACGCTGGGATAGGTTCGTTATGTGATTTTTTTTAAAGTAATTATTCTTTGCACAAGCAATGCTTGTGTTATAGTATGAACTATCTATTTTTTCCAACCTAAGTCGCAAACATTGTTGCGACGCAAATATTGTTGCGATAAAATGTGCTCATTTCGAAAGTGTTCATTTTGATCAATAACCAGCTTTTAAGTACAACCAATGCTGAGGATTTTAACACAGACTATTATTGTTTGAAAGTAACGGAATTTTTGTGCTCATGCTGGTTTTTTTCTTCAACAAATTTCGACTTTTTAACTAGCCAATTTTGACGGGATTTTTTAAATATCATTCCAAAAGTATTGTTGTCCTGAGCTTAAATTTGGAAAGATACTTCACCTGTGATCATTTCACTTGATCGTAGTTATGCGAGTTTAAAAATTGCCATTTTGACCAACTTGGGACAATTAACGCGCGAAATATTTCGCGCTATTAACGCGTAAGCTGATTTTTAATCCGTCATTGGTTGAAGGAAGCTTATTTGCCACAATTGAGTTGTTACTAGGATCGAAATGTATCACTTTGTACTTAATACGGCGTGTGGGGGATGATTTTCACAAAAAAATCTCAAATTTAAAAAAATTTCATTAATTTTAGTTTTTTCATGTTATTACTGCTCTATAGACTGCTCTATAGTTTGAAGCGTGTTAGTTGGTAAATTTCTTTTTTTTTTCAAATTGACTGGTACTGCTAATGCGTCATAATTGGCGTGCGTCACTAAAGAAAATTTGTTGACTCAAAGTTTTACTAATTCAGTTTTTCCCAGTAGCGTTATCGGTCATATTTTTGCTTGTGTATGCGAAGTACAACTTCGCCTGTGTAAAATTTGTTCACGCTAACTTTTTTTACGGTTGGATTTTTTTTGAGTCCAGCTTAATTCCTTTGATAAAAGGAGAGCAAACTCCTCAATCGAACCGCAAAAGTGTATAGGTCACGAAAAGCGTGATCGACTACTAGTTTTCTATGTGGATTTAATTTTCCTTTTCCCAGCATAATAAAAATTTCACCAATTGATATGGTGTTTTATCAAAAAAGTTCAACCATATATGTTTCTGGAAATTCAAAGATCTTTAAGGCCATATATTGTTTTCGTTGATGTTAAAAAATTGCAGTTTTTTCAGTGAAACGTGTCAGTATTTCTTTGCGTTCATTGACTCGTTTCCAATTGTTTGCTGGCTATGTTTTAAGTTGTTGCTGTGATGTTATAACGGATTGAATGTTCTTAATGACTCTTTGTTCCTGGATGTCGAGTTTGGCTGTTTGCCCAGGAAAATTATTTTCAGCTGAAGAAATTCTAGATGTGCACGTGCTCAGCAAACGCCCATCTGAGCTCCGGCGCGAATGTGGAAGGTCGTTTTGGCAGAAGCTTCATAAAGGCACTAGCTGTCAGTGTTGCTCCGAAAGGCTAGTGTGACCCAACACCTCGAAGAGAGATTCAGAAAAGTTTCTCTCCGTACAAAGTATATGAAAATCTGACGTCGCCTGCTATCTCTCCAGCTATGTCCTTCTGTGAATCTTTCTCTTTTTCTAGTGTGAATCGCATCTACGATCCTTTTGACGAAGCTCTGCAATGTCGGACACAGAAAAAGCCCACAATTTCGCCCTGAACTCATGTTCTTGCCGACCAAAGGAGTAACCCGATCAGAATGTAATTTGTGCTTTGCCGCTATCCACTGGACGGACCTCTTCGATTTGCAAATCTTTAGTTCAACCAAAACTCCAGTTTCGACTGTAAAGAGTCTTTCATATAAGGGTTGCGAGAGTATGATTTTCCCAGGAGTTGAAGTTCATGATCTCGGAACCATTGATGTTCCAACCCCATTGTTATGCCTGTTGCGCGCTAATGATAGCTTTGATCGTGCACCTCAAAAAAGGGAACAATGTTGCTTTTCGACGTATTGCACACATAGCAAAATATGCAGAAAACAATCTGAAAAGGAGATACCTTGTAGTTCACATTTACATGCAACATACTGAATTAACTAACAAATTTAGTGATGAACACATGCAAAATTATGCACTAAAACAACCAACGTCGAAGCTTGCAGAAACACTAAAAGTGAAAACTGTTAGCATTAAAGTGCACGAGTGCTTTTCCATATTGCAAAAAAATACTAAGTTTTCAATTCGAAGCTGAGTCATTCAAAGCTACTAAAACATCTAAACAAATGAAAACAAGAAAATCAACTAAAACTAACAACTCAAACAAGCACTAAATAAAGGCCCGCTTAATTAACGTACAAAACAAAAACTCAACCCAAAACAGCAACAACAGGCATATTCAAACTATCGTCTTTTAGCTCATCGTCTTTCACAACTTGACTCCTGATTTACACACTGGTTTACAGCCAATCCACTATACAGGGTGCTTCATCTTCCAAACAAACCATCCCATCACAACAGATCACTCTCCTCTCTGAGCAAAGTGCATGTAACAAAAACAGTATCACAGTTTTCATTTTCTAAGGATCTGAAAAGCTTAAATGCATAGATCTTTTTAATAAAACTTTTTCAGCTCTCACAGCACTCATAGTTAACCCAGACAAGCAATCTGAGACAGCTTGGAACGCAGGATAATCTTCAACTACGAATAGGAAAATTCTTATGGCAGAAAAATTCATTCCGATTGATTTTCTCTTTCACAAAATTTGAGCTGGATATAAATAGTGAATTAAAATCAATTCTTAATCATTCAAACAAGATGATTTTGCAACCTTATTTTGTCATAGATTGTTACGAAATCATATTCTACTTTTGATGTCGACTGGCTTCTTCGCCAAATGAAAAACGCGGTCTCACTCGCTACACAAGAATAAGTCTCTTTCTGCTTCTTTTTTTTAAGAAGAAGAAAGTTAACTCTCGCGAAAAAAGAGCGGCACCACTAGTTATAGCCGCAAAAGCCTCAGTTAGACTTTTTAGCAGTTGAATTATCCCCGGAAAGTGAACCATGCTGCCTCCCTTGAATTATTGGCTCATGCCAAGACAAGTAGAAAAAAAAGTTTGAAAACAGCGAAACTTGCTGATCTCTCTGTTCGACCTTACAAGAAGTGTCTAGATTTTAATTGGCTATCTAGATAAAAAGTTTTCATGGTTACAATTGATTTATCTCAAATCAAACAAATACTGAAAGAAATGCTAAAACTACAAAACAGGAACTGGAAAACGATTCAAGACCAATTCGCAGAATTTGAGCATAAATGTCACATCCTTCCTGATTGTGATCAGTTACTGTATCCTAAAACAGCAAATCAGTTTCAATTATGATACGGTCTCTTCGCTGCTGACATTTTTTTTTGAAAATGTGAATTGTACAGAATTTGCTTTACGCATACAGGGTTAACCTGATAGTTTTTGTTCCTTCTTTTACTGAACTCCAGCTGCCTGAGATACTCTATAGCCTATCTCAAAACATGGTTGTCTGCAGAAACCCCATGACATCCTTTACATATATACTACAACTTCTCCTTCCGTCAAATTTTTATCTATCGAATATTTTGCTTAGGAAAACGTGTTCGCGAACCGCTTGGCTCTGTAATAAAATATAAGCTGATTCATTTTACGAAAAAATTTGAGACATAAAAATCATCGCTGAATAGTTGGATGAGGAAAACATCAGTTTTTGAGGACAGATTCCCTGTATGGATTAACTTAATATTTCAAGGTGTCTTCAATTGGACAGCCTGCTGAAAATATGGTTAATTATTTTACAAATCGTTTCAGTCCACGAAACATCTTGAAATATTTCAACGTTTAATCCCTTTAATAGCTTGCTTCAGCGCTTGAGTAGCTTGCTTAGAAAAATTTGATTTTTTAATTCGATTCACACTATGATAAATAATTCACACTAAAATATTTCGCAAGTTACATTGCTAGTGTGTGTTGCTACAATAAATTAAAACATTTACCAATCGTTTCACGAAATGGAAAAAATTCATTGCTTGAATTGCTTGCTGAGAAAAAGTTAAACTAAATCCAAATCTGTTCACTATAAAGTAGATTTTAGTTAGATTCACTATAAAATCAGTCGAGTCTCAAAAGCTTGGTTGGCCTGCTCGAAAGAACCACTTCGCGAATCAACTGGCTATCAAATTTTTTGTTTGTCGAAAGTCTTATCGCGTGAATGGCCTGCTCAGAAAGTTTTTCGTGCATCGATTTGATTTAAGATATGAAATAGTCAGCGAAGTTTCAAATTTTAACTGCCTGAAGAACTTGTATTTCAAGGTTACATCGCTTGAATGAATTGTTTGCCTCAAAAAGTTGAAACTTGGAAACCAATTCACGATATCTAGTAACTTGAAGTTATTCAAAGATTCTCTGCTTGATTAGTTTGCTCAGAATAACTAACTTTTTGCGAGCCGATTGATTAATGGAGATGGGCTTGATAATACCAATAAAATAACACTACGCGAGCTTGCGCTTTTTGAAATAGCTGTTTTTTTGCACCGATCGTTTTTTTTTTCAAATCGGTTAAATAGACCAAGATGTCTCTACGGATCAAACTACCCATTTCAAAACTGTTCATTAATTTTCTATTGGAATTAGTATAAAACTGTTGCTTAGAATTCAAAGACCTATTTTTATACTTGATTGATTTAAGTTTTACTTATTAGATCTATCAAATTTATTTTTTCATCATAAACTTTTTCTATTTGCTTGAGTTAAACTAGGTGAAGTATTCAAGTCGGGAA